TTATACTTAGATATTATACTTAGACATAAATTTTTGGGAGTTGGGTGATGGAGATATAAATTTCTGGTATGATGATTGGACAATGGTTGGTTCTCTAAAATTTTTTTCCGCTTCATTGTAATAATAATGATAAGGATTCGGTTTTTTGGAGAGGAGATGTGTGGAACTGCTTGAAGCTCTAAAGCCTTGTCGGTTCGGATTAGAAGAATATCATTTCACATATTTCTTTTGACAAAGGTAAAAAAGATTGCGCTGTATTGAATTAGGACGTGGATAAGCTTTAAATGTATTTCTAAATATATTCATCGTTTTGATGTGGTGGATGGTTGTGCTAAAATTTAGAACACACTGATCATTTTAAATTTCTGCTTGTGGATGGCATTCTTAAGTTAAAAGGCTTAAGTTTCTCTTTTATTTGCTTACACTATAGAGGTGTAATCATTTTTACATTTATTTTTTCAATGTCGGTTCGTTGTTTTCTTTCCATAAGCTTTTATAATTCTCTGGATCAATGCTTAGCCAAGTGGATTTTGCATGATAATGCAAGTCATTTACAAAGATATGTCTTTTATATATTGTTGGTTTATTTCGATGGAAAGAAATAATAAAAAATATATAGATATTTGTATAATAGTTGAGAGGGTGATTATGTACATTAAAGCTTTTATTTACAAAGTGCTTAAATTTGATAGATGCAGTGCATCTCTTCTTTTAAATATGCAATAGGAATGGAAAGAAATAAAAAAAATATATATAAATATTTGTATAATAGTTGAGAGGGTGATTATGTACATTAAAGCTTTTATTTACAAAGTGCTTAAATTTGATAGATGCAATGCATCTAATATTTTTAGCCTATTGCATATTAAAAAGAAGATAGAAATAGTTTGTGGCCTTCTAGCCACTCCATTAGCACATTTCAAATTTGAATGGTATATTGGTCCAAGCTAAATTTTCCTACTAATTAAATTAATGTTGATGGCTGTTTTGTTAAGTGCTTGATTTATTTTGCTGCACCTTGCACTCCTATATCGGCTCTCCATTCTGAGTTATTAGCAATTTTATGTTGTTTGATGGTGACAAGTAAGTGTAATATTTTTTTGTCCAAATTGAAATAGATTTGAAACTGTCGTTTAATATTTACAATAATATTTCTATTTACCCTTGGTTTTGTATACATATTTGGACGAAATTTTATGTGCTTCTATCTCCTTTTCAGGTTAGATGAACACACTGCTACAGAGAAGAGAACAAGCAAGCAGACCGCTTAGCTAAACGGAGTGCCACCTCAAATTCCATATATATTGGTATTCCTCCTCCTCTGGAAGTTGCTCTTCTGACTTTTGCTGATTGGAACTTCTTTCTGGATTTTAAAACATTTTTTTGATTTGATTAAAACGTCTTATTGCGTGCGTTGTACTCTTTGCATCTATCATTCTTAATTTTGTATCTACTATTCTTAATATAGTTCAAATCTTATTCTTTGAAGTTCTATTGGAAGAGCATTTAAGCTATTGATGGAATGAAATTTGTTTAAATATTATTTAAATATCCATCAAAATATTTTAAAGCTTCACATATTATTTCAATCAATATTGATTGTGACCCACTCTTTGCCATAAAATAAATTATAATTTACTGATATTTTTTTAAAAAATAAATAATTAATATATTCTATAATTTTTATTTTGATGATCTATAAAATTAAATAATAAATAGGCAGCAATTTCATGGTCACCCTCCCCAGTTCCATCCATACGCGCTAGAAAAACTATTAGGTGCGCTCGCGAAGAACACTTTCCACATGTACTCATTCCTGACCCTTCGATCCAAAGCCGCTGTCCCCCAACGGCAGATCGACCGGGACAGCGAACAGAACGGCGGAGGGACGTGAGGCTAGTTTGGTAATTTCGTGTCCGGCAATTATCATTAGGAGAACTTAAAATAAATCCTGGCCTCGAGTCCGCGGATATAACCACGTGGTGCCGGGCGCATAAAGTGGTACAGAGCAGAGTGGAGGAAGAGGGAGTGAGAGACGCATAAAGTGGTACAGAGCAGAGTGGAGGAAGAGGAGTGAGAGAGAGAAAGGGAGAAAGGGAGAAAGGGGCAGCTGAAAGAAAAGGGTAAAGAAGAAGGGGAAAGCGGGTTCAGGAATAGTCGAGACGATTCTGTATCCTTCACGCGTGGCTTCGATCCGCTGGTAAATCGGGAAAGGAGGTCTTTCTTTGTTGCTAATGTTGCAATCTTTAGTTGAGCACTTAAAATTTGTGGAGTAATTTGCCTTCTTACTTGTCTGAATTAGCTTGGAGTCTTTGTTTGATGTAATGCAGTGGAAGAAGTGGCAAGCATTTTTTTTTTTTTTTTTTTTTTTTTGGTTGTGGTACTGTTTTCGGGTATTGGGATTTTTGGTTTTCTTATGCGGTATTTGTTGTAACCAATTTGTATTTGTTTCGGTTTTATTTTTACTGTTGCATTGCATTGGTGTGGGTGGGATTTTTGGCTTGTGTTCGATTATCCTTTTCCTTTGTTAGTTGATGGATTTACTCATTCTCATTTGTATCTTGTCATTTCTGTTTTAATCTGTATTTTAGTACTTCGCCTAGGTTGTGTCATTGCAAAGGAAGTGAAAACACAAA